TGTAAGTAAACGAGACCCGTAGTCCAAATAGCATATAAATGCAGCATTACAGTAATTATCAGTGAATGTTTTCTGAGGTGAAATCTTGTTCGTAGAAACAAATCTATCATTAATATTTAACTATAAACTATTTACTGTTATTTCCAGTCAAAATACAACATATTGGTGGCACTGTGTCAAATTACACGCATCCAAATCCAAGTACATTCTTTCAGGAAAACACATTTTCTCTGTTCTTCTCACATTAAAATCCACCAAATAAACACAGGCCAAGCACTGCTTACATCACAATTCGTATCACTGGAGATTGCTGCTTCCCTTCTAGTTTGTGATACAAATTCTTAATAACGAGAATATTGATACCATCAATAATGGTCTTAATTTTGGATTGTTTTATATACAAACTAGGGCTGTGGAATTAATCGCATGTGATTGTCATGCGCATCTCGTCAGTAAGACAGGTTCTGTGATTAGTAGTAAATCTCCATCTCATGCTTTCAGATGGAACGGCATTTACTACACAGAGCCGTAGTTCACTGACAAGCAACGCAATATCGTGTTCATTATTGCAGGCGATTCGTTGCACAGCCCTAATACAAACATAGAGCTTCACATCAGAAGACATTATCTGATTGACTGATATATACAAACTAGGGCTGTGGAATTAATCGCATGTGATTGTCATGCGCATCTCGTCAGTAAGACAGGTTCTGTGATTAGTAGTAAATCTCCATCTCATGCTTTCAGATGGAACGGCATTTACTACACAGAGCCGTAGTTCACTGACAAGCTACGCAATATCGTGTTCATTATTGCAGGCGATTCGTTGCACAGCCCTAATACAAACATAGAGCTTCACATCAGAAGACATTATCTGATTGACTGGAGACATGTGGATTCTTGTAATTCTACCTTTTATCTCTTGTTTTGACTGTAAATGTGATGGCACCAGTTAATGCATCTGCAAAAATCGGATTTCCTTCTAAAAAAGAAAACCCGGTGTTCTGATGAAAAATAAAGTCATATGCATCTTTGATGGCCTGAGGGTAAGTAAATTATGAGAACAATTTTGAGTCAATCTTTCTTTTAAAAGTAATGCCTTTGCAACTGACCACCAGCATTAGTTGTGACATACTAACCACACAGAATAAGACAAGGGCTGGCAGGTAGATTTTGCATCTTCTGAACATCAGCTGCAGTCGCAGAAACCTAAAAGAGAACATTAAATTCAGAATTACACTCTAAGATAAAATTAAACAACAAACAAAATATTTAAATAAACACTCACATCTGCATGTGTCATCAGTCCACTTTCACTCTCATCAAAATGTGCCAGAAGAAGCTTGATGACCAGGTGTGCAATCTCAAGGCTGTCAGCCTGAGACAATACATACTTCATGACTTTATCTTTTGGTCTGCTTTTGAAGTACTCAAGAATGGCCTTTCCACATTCTTCCATGGACATTTCTAATGCGTGCAGTATATCAATATCAGTGAGCAAATGAAAATGGGCACAGATGGACATTTGGTTAAAAAGGTAAGGCCACTTGCTCTGTATGTCGTCAACGGAAGGAGCAGGTGTAGAGTTTAAATGCAGACAAAATGTTGTCTCCCATCAGATTTTCTACTTCTACTTTCTCAATTCCGGCAGTTCCTTCCTTGCTGTAAATGTCCTGTAGTCGCTCTCTTTTTGTCTCTATTGTTTCCTTGGTTACTTCAGGTGGGAGTTGTGGCTGAAATCTAACACACCCGTAGGTGTCAGTGGGTCCTCGTTTGCATCCAGACTTCGGCATGGTTCTATGATGGGCAAAACTGCTCTCACGGTTAAGATTTTCCACACGTGTCTTTACTTGCATTAAGAGTGATGTATACCCTCCTGCTATTAAAGCACCATTTGGAAACTGGTCCGCAAAGCTGTTAGGGTATTGCCTAACAATATTTTGGTGGGCCGTGAGACACTGAGAATGCTTGGGGCAAAGCTCATATTTGCGCATTTCGTCCACTAGGACTCTCACCATCTGCTGCCGTTCTGCAGGTTTAGGCCTCTTGCCTGCAGAAATAGCCAATTGGATCTGTGGTGGCATTCGATCCCAAGGGACCTGAAAACTTGTGGGCCATGTCTTGGAAATGCTAAAAGTATGTAGAGAGGATGCACATGAGTTGGCTGTTTCTGAGGAAAATGACATGCAGGCTTGACTGTCATGTGCTGAACTTGACAAAGGAGAAGCTGAACTTGGTTCACTGTAACTTGAACATGGGCTCGAGATGGCTTGTAAGTTCAGCGTAATCACTTCAGTTTCTGATAAAAGAAAAGCAAAGTAAAGGGTTAGTTCACCCAAAAATGAAAATTCTGTATTAATTACTCCCACTCATGTTGCTCTTCAGAACACAAATTAAGATATTTTTGATTAAACTGATCTTTGCCGAGTATAAGCGGATGCTTGACCTCTTCAGGCATGGCTGCTTTACTCAGTCTTCCTCCAGCTCTTAACAGTCCATCATCCAAAAATGGATCCAACCGATAAATAGAACTTTGCCGATTCACTTTCACTGTCACTTTCCCAGATGAAAGAGCAAACATTTCCTTGAAACTGAATTTCTTTTGCTGGCAATATGGAACAATGGCTTCCTCTGCTTCCCAATAGATCATCCAGTGTCAAAACAAGACTCTTAGGCGTTATGACTTTTGACCCCTTGGACTGTACACCACTGTCCTGATTGTTCTTTGAATGACCAGCATTTGTAGCCTTCTGCTTCTTTCCCAAGCGAATTCTTTCCAATAAGATTATTTTCAACTTGAGAAACCGGATGCAAGCCTGTTTGCTACGAATGTATGGAAATGCTTATCTTCATTGTTGAGGTACTTCAGTACTGCTGTACTGTCAGTCCAGAAGACTGAATCCTCTAACTGGATATTCAATTATTTTTTCAGCATTGCGTCCACCTTTATAGAAAGGCAATGTGAATACGGTTCACATGATTTAACATTCTGATGTATGTTACTGTGCTATATCCATTTGTACTGGCATCAGCAAAATGGTGTATTTGAGCATGCCTAAACACAATATGTAATTTTTTTGCCACTAGAGAGCACATATTCAAAATAAACAAAGACCAGGTAGCGTAGTGTGGAATCATGGGAGTTGTGGTCTTCATCTCCACAGCCGATGCAATCCGACGGGACTCGGGCAGAAATCATGTTCATTTGATGAGCTAATGATTTATTAACGTAGTAGAATGAAGCAGGGTGAGGCTGAAAGCCGTCGGAGCGAAACGAGGCCGCTGAACGTGCGTGACACACGGCTTGAAAGCAGCGGAGCTTTTATTATGCCATAGTCGATCGCTTCCCTTCCTTCCGGTCGTGCTTATGTGGGGTAAAGCAGCGCTGTTTTAGATACATTTGAAAGTTATGTTATAATGCTACTCTGTGCGGTCGTCACCTGTCTAATAAAACGCATAACCTATTAAAGCATCTTTGGTGTTTCCATGTTTTCTACAAAACAAAACCGGAAATCGAGGGGTTATGACGTCATTGCAGGTGACACAATGACACTATGGACACGGTCCGTGTCACTAGTTAAAATAGCTTATTTCTCTGGATTTAAACATTCTTCAAAACATTTGGGATAATGTAAGTACACAAGTCAGCAAACTATATAATATTTTTGGATATTTTAATAAAACAATCTTACATATTGTGCCTTTAAAGGGACGTTAACAGTTTTTCAATACCAAGTACGCAAAGTTCAGACTTGCATGCTTGGTAGTTTGGACTTTGCAAGTTCGACTTGGGAGTGTGAACTATTGGGCACGGGAGGACGGAAGTCCGGTAATTCTGCAAATGAAACAGCAGCGTACTTGATAACGTCAGTCGGCTCGCCTTGGCTTCTCCGATAATCCTCACTATATGTTTATTTACAGTAAGACGAAATATGATATTAAACGGCACTGCCTCTTTTCTGTTTCATTTAAACATATTAATAGCCACACACTTGTGGTTCATGCAACGCATACACGCATTACCGTACTTGATAACGTCAGTCGGCTCGCCTTGGCTTCTCCGATAATCCTCACTATATGTTTATTTACAGTAAGACGAAATATATTAAACGGCACTGCCTCTTTTCTGTTTCATTTAAACATATTAATAGCCACACACTTGTGGTTCATGCAACGCATACACGCATTACAATAAAACGAAATTACATAAAACACACTGCCTCTTCGTTTTCTTCACTGTGTGTATCCTTAACAAAACAAATTATAAAACACAACCCTCTTTTCACTTTCATTTAAACAATATAAAACATATTAACATGGTTAAGGCAATTTGTCCACATATACTCTGATGATCTTCACTGTATGAATAATAAAATGAAATATTACATAAAGCACAACTCTACCTTTTTTGTTAAATAGCCTATCAGTTTTAATGAACAATAATAGCCATTATAAAAGTATAAGTATGTAGTATAAGAGACTTATGTCATAGGAAATAAGGACAAAAGCAAACAATTCAGTCAAACGTATGCTACAAAGTCAGTGCTGTACTACGATTAAATAAAATAAATATATATGCATATATAGATGCAGCCTGGATAATAGGGGCAGAGCAAGAACACATCCGCTGCCATTTTAGATTTAGTTTGTTGTAACCGAAACAATCTTTAGAGCTATTGAATAATATAGATGGAGCAGCAAATAATAAGGGACACTTTTTTCAACAGAATGTATGTTAGATAATTGTGTAGTTGATCAAACATATTTAAGTTATCTTTATAGAAACGTGATTTGTGTCTATTTTAAACATTATATTTTGAAAATCAATGTACCTCATTCATAAAAGTAAAATTTATAAAATTGCATCAAAAGAAACACAATTTTGAATAGAAATTGTTACACCAGGGTTGACTTTTATGTACTTTCACATTTCTGTTTTTGTTTGGTTGTTTGTTTTTTTTAAGTTACTGACAAATTAAGTGTTTTTGCTTTTATTTTAGAGTTTATTGAAGAAAGTGAGGATAATGAAGAATTGAGTGAAGATGAGAAAGATCATGTCAAAACTGGAGAAAAACCTTTGAGTTGCTCTCAAACCAAACATAAAGATTTGAAGAAAAGAGCCAAGAAATCTTTCACCTGCACTCAGTGTGGAAAGAGTTTGACAAGCAAACATAATCTTGATGTTCACATGAGAGTTCATACTGGAGAGAAACCGTTTACTTGTGATCAGTGCGGGAAGAGTTTCACTCAATCATCAAGCCTTAAGAAACACATGAACAGCCACACTGGAGAGAAACCTTATAAGTGTTCACACTGTGACAAGCGAATCAGTCAGTCAGGAAATCTGAAAATACATGAGAGGATCCACACTGGAGAGAAACCTTACACATGTGATCAGTGCGGGAAGAGTTTCACACAATCATCACAACTTAAGAGACACATGAACATCCACACTAGAGAGAAACTACACGTGATCAATGCGGCAAAATTTTTTTGAGGGCTTCAGGTGTGAAGAAACACCGGAGAGTTCATACAAAGGAGAAGCAACATTCATGTTATTTGTGTGGAAAGAGTTTTTCACGTTTTTCAACTTTGAAAGAACATCAGAAAATGCATACTGCTGTGAGAGAGTACATGTGCTTTGAGTGTGAAAAGACTTTTACTTTAGCGAGCCGTTTAAAACAGCATGAGAGGATTCACTCTGGAGAGAAACCTTACAAGTGTTCACACTGTGACAAGAGATTCATTCAGTCATCAAATCTGAAAACACATGAGAGGATCCACACTGGAGAGAAACGGTATCACTGCACTGCATGTGGGAAGTGTTTCAATCGTTCAGCTTCTCTACAAAGTCATACAAAAAAACATTCACAGTAAGTATTCAAGATTCAGCTGAGATTCTGATAAAAATCAAAGATAGAGTTCCTCCCCAAATAACTGTCAAAACATTTTATTATTGTGCTTTCTTATTTTTCTTCACTGTTGTTTTTAAAATGACTAATTATTCTTCCACTTAAGATGTATTTAGAAAATGCAGATGCAAGATATACTGTCATGTAGCTTTGCAACTGATTCTTCTGTGCTTCTCTGTAAGAAGGGATGGGTACCAGAACATGTTATTGAATGGGCCCTTTTTTCATGAAAAAAAGAATACCATTAAAGAACTGGACTGATGTGCAGTATTGTGAGAATAGTAATACTGTTAAAATCTTAACGATACCCAGGGCTCGAATTGAGGGGGGATGATATCCCCCTGATCGAAAAAAATGACAAAAAACATCCCCCCTCAGTAAAACCACCAACCCCCCTTACCATCCCCTTTAGATTAATAATGTGTATTACGTAAAACTTATCATGCAAATGAAATGTTAAAATACTCTACTGATAATTAACGAACGAAATAACGGCAATTGACCAATCAGAACTTGGTACTGTATGAAGCTGCGCACAGCTGAAGCAAGTTTTCGTAATTTTTCACACAAAATGATTCAAGCGCAACTTTTGCATT